AACCATCTGGAGAGCGGCGCTCATATCTTTTTCAGTAAAAGAAGGCATTCTGAATTGATTGGCGTTAGTTTGAAATTAATTGGAATTAAATTGGTAGAGTTGTTACTGTTTAAAGTATATATAAATTGGGTGGCTGGGTTAAAAGTGAGGTGGCCGGTCTGTGGGGGTGGCCAGTCTTTGGGTGACGGACGTTAGGGCATACAGCGACATAGCACAGCATAATTCCATTCCAGGACTCATATGAAGAGATTTTCTGTAGCAAATTGTTCTTTTCAACCTTCCAGCGGCCACAACCGGTCAGCGTCGGTACGTGTCTTCGCAAAGGGACTCCATCGTCGTTTACTTGGTCTATTCCACCCATGGGGGAATAAACCTGGTCCTACGATCCACGATCGAACTTCGCAAGATCCAACATGCTCCTCGATGACCCACAATGTACTACGTTGCGCGACACTGTGCTGTATGTCCCTGATGGGCATCAGATCAGAAAACGTTGGAGCATGCCAAGGGAGCATTAGCCTGGTGCGTACCGTTCGTGGAACATTCTCTTGGCCAACCGTAACACCGCATTGCGCCCATACGGACGGTGCCAGGGTCTGTTGTGGACTGTGCTGATGCTGAATCCACCTTGCTGGTCGCACGCCCTTCGGCGGTCTCCAGGCCTCAGACCTACCCATAACCCACACGCCCAAGGGGGTTACAGGGCTTCCAGCGCGCGAGCAGAACTGGCAGAGTCAGGCGGGAGCCGCCTGTCAGTGCATATCCACCAAGGCGCCACTTAACAAGCTCGCCATAGCAGGGCATCTTTGGGCTATGACACATCGTTTCCCCCAGGGACAGAGCACGAGTCGAAGGCTCTGAGTTCAGATATTTAGTCTTGGTGATGCCCTCGATCTTTCCACTCGAAAGGACTCTCCATATCTTCCCCAGAATCATCTTGGTTTATCTTCAATTTCCCCAGACTCACATCTACTATCCCGGGTTGACAACACTTGACTAAAGTTAGTCCCCAGATATATCGACTTGCAAAAAGGTCACTTACACACGAACGAAACAAAACAACGATCAACGACAGTTACAATTGGTTATCTAGAAGACACTCGATACCAATTGATATCTCAGTCACTCGCTCTTCACAGAAGTTACGAGAAAAACGAAAAACAAACCTACCACTTACTCGCGGCATCCGCAGCTAGTAGCCGGCACTCAAAATCCTTGCACACCACCTCGGAACAGGTTTGAGTCGCAGCATCGTCATTACCGACTTCGCATTGACGCAGCTTGCAACATTTGCAAAGTCAGAAGACCAGTTGCCCCTGGCTATCTCCCGCCGTATACACCCACATCATACGCCGGCGTCAACAATACTATTTCCGGTATTACATCACCCTGAAGAGTTTTTGCGAAAACTCGTTCACGCCGAGTGCTATTTTAGCCGCCAACCCCCACCATCTGAACCCGTATAATCAACCACAAAAGAGAGCGTCTTACAAAAGGATCGCTCACTACCACCGCCATGCCCCACCGCGTGGCTAACTTCATCCGCACCTCTTCTGGCAACATTGCTCAGATCAAGAAGGTTGCTCGATCACGCACAAACAGCCCTTACACATCAGACGGCGAGGATCGACCTCAAATCCACGCTGTCAAGATGACCGAACTCGCAGATGCCGTTAAGAAGCATCACCGAATCTCTTTGCCCTTTGGCAAGTCCCACAAGGAACAGCCCTCAGATGTTACCATTGACTGGAGCATCGAGAGCCCACCTGTGGTTTTCCACGGCAACACTGAGGAGAGCACTGGCGCTCTCATCACTGGACAGATGTTCCTCGATGTCAAAGAGGAGGTTGTCGAGGTTGGAAGCTTCGCAGCTTCTCTCAAGCTTCACATCTACCAGAAGAGGCCTTACCAGGGCCACTGCACAGATTGCCAGAACCAGTACACTGAGCTCAAGAGCTGGCAATTCCTAGCTCTGCCTACCACACTTCGCAAGGGCCGTCACCCATTCCCTTTCTCCATTCTCCTGGATGGCCACCTCCCCGCTACCATGGATACTCCCCTTGTCGCCATCTCATATGAGTTCAAGGCTGATGCCTATGTCACCAAGAGCGTGCACTCAGCCAGTGGCTCCGTCACACCTGTGCGATTCGAGCGAACTGTCCCCGTTAAGCGATCTCTTCCCGAGAACGAAATCCCTCACCACTCTGTCCGCGTCTTTCCTCCTACCAACATCAAGGCCAGCGCCCACTACAACAACATCATTCACCCTACCGGAACCAACACTGTCAGTCTGCGACTTGACGGTCTCATGAGCCGTAACGACAAGGCGAAGACCATTGACTTCTGGCGACTCAAGAAGGTCACATGGAGACTCGAGGAGACCATCAAGACTGTGGCCCCTGCTTGCGACCGACATGCTCCTGCAGCTGAAGACCCCGAGAAGAAGAGCCTCCCCCGCAACGAGGTCCGCGTCCTGGGCGAGAAGCACCTCCACGATGGCTGGAAGTCTGACTTCACTGGCACCGATGGCAAGGTTGAGCTTGAATTCGATTACTTTGCCAACCAATACAAGTCTCACACCAAGGAGCTCAAGTATGCCTGTGACACCAAGTCTGCTGAGGGCGTCGAAGTGACACATTCACTCCTCATTGAGCTTGTTGTTTCTCGAGAATACGCTCCCGAGGGTAAGCCTCAACTGGCTACCCAAACCGGCACCGGCCGCATCCTGCGAATGCATTACGGTGTTGTCATGACTGCTCATGCTGGCATGGGTGTCAGCTGGGATAACGAAGCTCCCCCGGTCTACCAAGACGTGCCTCCTAGCCCCCCTGCCTACCCTGCCGTTGAGTCTCCAGTTGAGTACGAGAGCCTGGAGCATCTCGATGCCCACCGACTTAGCAGTCTTTCCAACTCATCAGATGATGGTAGCCAATAGAGTTGCCGCCGATGAGTTTCACAACATTGTCTTTTATTGCTTAATACTTGCATTTTTCCTTTGTTACCAACTGCATGAGACACGCGGCGATCCGATTTGCGAAAAGAAGATACCCCAGAAGCGTTGATAGGAAGACTCAGTAACTTCCACCTCTACATTATAAAGAAAGGGAATACAGAACACATGGGAAATGACTTTTAAAACGGAGTTTTGGAGTACAAAAAGTTAAAGTGGATTGGATATCAGGGACAGAAGAGCCCATGTGTTGTATAGCTATAAAAGCTTCTGTATCTAGTCATGAGAAGAAAGGCCGCCCAAAGAAGCAGGCTTGAAAACATTGAATAATCATGAACCATTTCAACTCTTAAACTTGACGATAATCTCATGTGAATTATTGGTTACTTGGCAACGAGCCAGTTTCTGTTTGTTCATTGACTCGCATAGAGTAGTCAACCGGATTCTTGGTCTAGAACAAGATAAGTGGTGTGAGTCAGATGCAGCCAAGCATGAGGCGTCCGGGGTTAGATAACCGAGGCACTCTTTTATAACCGGAAAGAGAAGCAATCTTGAAGTCTGATAAACAAAAACCTGGGGTCTGCGGGCGGATAACAGCCTGCAGCCAGCCTTGATAGGCCGGTAAGTGGTCAGTGTCACAAGCAAAAGCGGTACATACATTACGCGGAACAACTGATATGTGAGTTTGAGCCCGAAAGGCGGGGTGAATTCTTGCGTCGACCAAGAATATGTAGCGTTGATCGTCAAAAGTGGTGGCCCGTCTGTGATGCATGATGTATCACACGACGTGCAAAGACAACAGGATTCTGCATAGAAAATTGTGTCATTGGCGTGCGGACTTGGACTCCCGGTATAACTTGCCAGAAGAGGGAGCAGTGGCTTGTTCAAAGTATTGCCCGGATGCAGCATCCGTTATGGCTTTGGTCCGGTCTTGTTTCCGGTCTTGTGTGTCACATCCCATGTGAGTTGATGGCGTACAGAGTACATGTTTAGTGGATGGTGAAAGCTCAAGAATAGAAATTACAAGCTTGGCTAGATTAGCTACCAAGCTATCTGAGAAAATATGCTTGTTTGATGGGGCTTGTCTTGGCTGGTTTGGGAGTTGGAGATTGCTTGGAGGGATATCTGCCGGTCTCGTGATCGGATGAGTTTGAAGTGCACAAAGAGGTACGTTTCGTTCTTAGCTTTCAGTACAAAGCACTGGAAGGAGGATTTTCTCTCATACCGCAGTCGACAATAGGTCATGTGATGTGAAATATTTCTCTTAGGTAATTTGTTGTCTGTTTCATCTCGAAACGCTGGCATTACAGATGTTCTTATTAGACCACCTTGGCTTGGGAAACGTATGCCCTGCTAAATATTTAAACATCTACCAGAAGTTCAAGTTGCATTCACAGTGATGTTCACCAGTCAAGAACTGTATCAGAGAGTTCTTTGATGTTTACTTATCCGCTTCTAACATGGTTGCATAGCGAATTCGAGGGTAGAGCCTAGTTGCTATAATTCTTGGGCAGAATCCCATGTTGTATAGTAATGAGACGTTTAATATACGGGTTGAGGACTAGTAAAGACGTGAAAAGTAAATTTAGGTCGCAAACATAGAACATCAAGTCCCAACCTGTGAACTATCCCGGGGCGGAGATTGAGATACCTGACTTACTCCCCAAGGCATCGCCGAGCACCTGTCCACGGCCAATACCCCCCTCTACAATGGTAATATTTGTGACCAGGTTGTAAGTCTTTGTAGTATCAGTCTCTAGATAGTTGTTTCCGTCATAAGATAGCCTACGATTAGGATAGTTGACCATACCAGGGCCGAGATTTAGGGATAGCTTAGACGAGCCAAAGGATAACTCTTTGAACTTTCCGGCTGAGCCATCTTGAGAAGATTATGAACTGAGATGTTGTAAGCTGCACCAGATGACGGCGTTCTTGTGAGTCTGAAAAATACTTGTAAAAACACCCGGATACATGATACGATGACGATAATGCAAAGAAAGAGTTCATCAACCATGTCCACAAAAGATATTCAAGGCTTGCCAGAGCCGATAGTAAGCAGCCTTTGGGGAATTAGCTCAAGAGTCCAGGCAATGATACATTCGCTCCTTGAGTTTTAAGTGTATCTACAGAAGGGTGTGGAAAAGCTATGATAATACAAGTATATCGGTTTCGAGTTCTGGTGAACCCCGGGGCTTACTTACAATGGACTCACGAAGCCTAACGGATGACCCTTTACTTCCTATTACAACTTCAATCCACAATTTTGAGTAAGCCCAAAGTTCAATAACATGAGAAACATGAAATGGACTACAGAACAAGACGGGTATTGAAGGAAGAATAATGCTGGGTCCAAGTGGATCATTGCGATGTCGTAAGACATCGAGCACAGCTACAGAGATACACTTTTAAAAGGAGTCCTATCATCGACCAGAGCAAACTAATCTACACCGGAGAGAGCAACTAGAAGGAATTTAAAGATTATACCTTGAGTAGCGATCGTCAAGATGCCTGCTCGCTCTATCAACAATAACCAGCGCCAATATTTCCAAGTAAGTCACCATGTGATACAAGAGACAGGGCAACCGGAGACCGAGATATGCCGAGATCGATTCAATGCCTAAAACACTGTATTGCTATGGGGTGGTAACAAATTATCAGAATCGATTGCAAGCTATTGATAGAATATCGGCCCAGCATCGGTCGCATCAAAAAAAGCTGTTTGAGGCTCGTTTGAGAATCGAGAACTCGTAAGTCGACCCATAATATCACATTTTTAGAAGACGATCTCCTGATAATGCCCCAGAGGTAGCATACTTGAATGCTCTCTTGCTACGAATAAGCTAATTGTTGCATGGCTGTTATAGCTGATCTTATGCATCATTTGATGGCGGTCAAGAAAGCGTGAAAGATGCTGATTGGCTAACTTCATGGTTGATCAAAGTCAGGTCTTACAACATCGAATGTGATAGTTAACGAGGAGATGCTTGTTCCCCATTGTACTGCTCAAGATATTCTGAGAGATGAACTTCTTGGGAGCACTTGCAGACGGAGTTGCCAAGCAACTGAAGGATCAGTCAATAGCTTACCCCGGATTTTGAAGCTGTTGCTGTAGATGGAGTTGGAGCTGGAGCTGGAGCTGGAGTGTGGAGACTCCGGGTGTCCGGAACCGGCATCTATCATCAGGTACAGAAAAGATGGCTATCAATGGCATCATATCATGATGCATACGGCAGATGCCAATTCTTCACCCAAATCACACAATTATCCCCCTGATTAACATGCCAGATATCAATCACTCCTGATACTCGTCTAGAGTCACACGACTCGATGGTTTTTCTAGCTTCCTCGACTAAACTTGCCCGATTCCAAGCGTGGCCCACCAAACAAGGTCAAGATACAGAAGAAGCTTCAGAGTCTTCTCTCCCGTCAACTCCCGCGGACGACAACCCCGGGAGAGCGCCAACGCTAACGCGTGAAACTGATGATTTAATGCAACTGTTCCAGGGGATCAATCATATCAACATAAATAGAGTCTCACACCGTAACACGGAACTTGGCCGAAATGATGCCTCAGGCTCCCCCGGCACCGTATCCACTTCCCTTGAGCCGAGAGTGACCCATGATAGCTCCGAGCTATGAGTAACAGTTTAGCACATTTTACCCCGGATTTCGGCTTCTGCGTGTTACTCATAAACTCTTGCATTCCTCCCCTTCCTATATCTTCTGTCTCTCGTTCTCTTTACCTATGGAATAAATTGTATCTTCACCTATTATACCTACTACACCTGCCTAATAACAAACATAACGGAATGGCCCCATTTCTGAATACGCCCATGGACACAAGAAATACCTACACCGATAGACGATAACCTCTTCGTGAAAATGGCTACTTGCAGTCTCAAGTCGCTGCGGCGACCATCACTCACCCTCATATCTGGAGCGAGGAAGAGGTCTTTTCGTTTTAATGGCCTCATCTCAAAAGCTGCCACTCGTGGTTTGGCTACCGTCACCGCTCAAACAACACAGCCAGCTGTGATGATGGAAGACCATAATACTAGACTGATCAACATGGGCTACAACTACAACTACATCGAACATGTCGAAAACCTCGAACAGTACCGCCTTGGGGGTTTCCATCCCGTATCCCTAGGTGAAACCATCAATAACCGCTACCTGGTCCTCAACAAGCTCGGCCACGGTGGATACTCAACTGTATGGCTCTCATGGGACATCTTGAAACAGAAGTATGCCGCATTGAAGATTGTACTAGCAGATTTCGGTGAAGACTCAACAGAAGTCGATGTCCTTCAGCGTCTGGAAGCCAAAGCCACGAAGAAACATCCTGGAAGGTCTCTCATTAGACATGTCACCGATAACTTTCACTTCGATGGTCCCAATGGAAGACACACCTGTCTGGTTAACGATCCGGCGATGATGTCGCTGCGTCTTGCGAAGGACGCCTCTTTCACAAGACTCTTTCAGCTACGGACTGCCCGAGCTATCGCCGCTCAGGTTGTGCAGTCCATCGCGTACCTCCATGAAGGCGGTGTAGTACACGGCGACCTCCACCTCGACAACATCTTGCTCCAGCTTCCGGACCGAATCAAGCGCTTGTCGCCTGATCAACTTCACGAGCGACATAGTCATCCAACGACAGTCCCTGTGACGAGACTCGACGGACTTCCTCTTGATGAAAATGCACCGCGAAACGCTGTGCTGCCAATTTGGCTTGGTCAAAAGAGCGAGGATGTAGCTCTGGCAGATGCAAAGATCTTACTGGGCGATTTCGGCGAGTCCTATTTACCGAGTCAAGAAAAGCGTCAATATTCCAATGCTCCGATTCGCTACCGGGCACCCGAAACTCAATTCCCCGATGTGTGTCAACCTCTCTCGTTCAGCTCCGATATTTGGAGCCTTGGCTGTCTCCTCTGGAACGTCGTCGGACAACGCCCGCTATTCGACGCCTGGACCCTCTCAGAAGATGACATTCTTCAAGACCAAATTGATCTTCTTGGTGAAATCCCAGAAGAGTGGTCTGCCTACGGCGCCAAGCGATCAGAGTACTGGGTCGAGGACATCGAAGAAGAGGCGTCGACACAAGCCACTACTCAGGGCGGTTTCACATGGGATGTACGCTTTGAGCGCTGTGTGCAACAAGGACGAAAGGAGAGCGGCATGAAGCCCATGTCAAAGGATGAGAAGGAGGCTTTTATTGATATGATGAAAAAGATGATTACTTTCCGCCCTGAGGATAGGATAACGGCTAAAGACCTGCTGGAGTCACGATGGATGAAACAGTGGGCCTTGCCGGAGCTGAAGAAGCTTGCGGCTTCATGATTGATGTTAAAAATGGGATTGGCATTCTGAATTAGCGAGTTTGGGAAAAAGCGTTTGTTTATATGGATCATAAATCAGATTTACTTAATACCAATTGATGCATGCTTATACTTGTCATAACTATGGAAACTGGGTGATTGCCATAAACTCTCAATCTTGTAAGTGACCAGTGAATAACGTTCATGTGGTCATCGGATCTTTCACATATGTCATGTGTAATCATACATAGTTTGTACTTATTTGCAGCTGCGAATGAACAGGGCTGTTCAATTGAGGGAAACGGTTGAGACAATTTGCGATATGGAGATCAACCACACTGTCGTGGGTATGTGCTGGTTTGACTAATTGTCTTCATGCTTGTTGAGTATTTCGGAGTAAGAACATGTGTGCTTCTGCTTTTCGTACAGAAAATCATGTATAAAAACAGTAGTCTACAAGAGTGATCATTACAACCGGCGATTCAAAATAGCGACTGTTGCAAACGATGATAGAAAATAAGGAGGTACCCCCCAAACTGATGGTAAAACAAACAATTTCCCTGCAAAGCACAAAGACTTGAATTAATTTATCCCCGCAAAGGGGGAGGGTAAAAGCAAGCCTGTATATATTTGGTTGAGAGCTTAGCCTTGATTCTAGACGTTTGTATCATGCCTTGGTTTCCAAGACCTCCACCGCGCATAACTCTAAGCAAGCAGACTAGAGTAAATTGCAACGATTAAAGGCCGTCAAGAAAGGGACACACGATATCGAGAACAGCTTGGAGTAAAACTATGCGAGATTTGTGTTTTCAGGCTCAAGATTATGGACTCAAGCACAAACTTGCGCTCAGAGTGACGTATATTAACGATCTTTGCGAAGACTTTCGTGTATAAATACTCCGCATATTCCTGCCCCAGTCTTCTCTTTCTCAAAGAATCATTCCTCTTTATAAGAAGTGTTATGATATACTGTACCTTCCTTGACTTTGAACTGGTATTTCCATATTTCATTCTGCCAATATGGTGCATGATTCTATGCCTGTAAGAATTCTTTATTATATAGAATATGACTGCTACTTCTCAGGACTGGCTGAATCACTTAAGTATATGTGCTATGGTTACTTAACATATCAAACCGCGGAGACAGAGGCATGAAGAAGGGGCATGTATTACCCAAAGCTTGGCCTCCCTCGACCATCTTTACCAAAACTTGGGCTCTGGCCAACAAGACCATCCTTAATATCGGAATTTCACTCCTAACAACACCTTTGACCATCATCTTCCAGATGCTTTCAAAGGGAAGAGTTACTTGCCCAAAGAGATGGCCTATGCCACCGGTATGGAGCACTGGTTCAGAACAGACTCTGCACTTTCTTTGCCCTGTTCTTCACACAATTATATTTTCAAGTATTCTGGCACCCCAATGGAATAATGATCTGAATTGATAAAAACATTGGCAATCTACAGCCTCTTCCATGCACACACAAAGTTCTTTTCTACTTTGGCATGGTAAGGAGCCCCCTCATACCAGAATCCTATCACACAGAGCAACTTCAATACTCAGAACAATTTTATGATACTAATGATTCATATAACAATCACTACTTAGCTATCCGTCCATAAATATACATGTTCTCTCACAGCCAAAGCTTTGAGGCTCTTACTAGGTTCATGTTAGAGCTTTCCCTATGAAGGGCTGGCCCCAAGCCGTCCAACGAGAGCGGAGTATGTCAAGAGCTAAGGCACTTCGGCTGAGGACGCCATTGACTAATGATCTACAAAAAAGAGCCAAGTAATCAGTGCGTCCCTAGAAATTTGAACCATGGGAAGACTTCGATTCAGAAGACGGGCATGTGAACATAGGGGAAGCAAGGCATAAAGATATGGCTAGAGACAATGGCCATTGAAGCAGCATTCAGGGAGTTTAAGCTTGCAGGCGTCCCTGTAAGCATAAAAAACGCAAAATCAAGGAGGAGGCACCTGGCTGGGACTGAGCTGCTTAGATCAGTAGTAAATCATATCGAGGAGCACTACGGAAAGACACCAGAGACTTATGCCTCCGCCCAGATATGAAAAATGGCTCGGACTTTACAGCAACCTGAATCTCGAGTGCGTATCCTAAATTACAGCATCCAACATTGCAATTGTGGTCTTTGCGGTAATGGCATATAAAACCAGCATGGAGAAGTATCCCTAAGCGGATACTGGTGTGAGTATACTCTCTTATACTCTGGTAGAACCTAGACAATGAATTCTAATACCAACTCTCACCTCAGTCCCAAATCTAAAATGCGAGCTCATCGACACCTCTGGTCAGCTCATAATGGTCAGCCTGTGTTTGATCAACCCCAGCTATGATGCACCGAGTGTGCTGCCGCGGGAGACTATCAGCAATGCGAACGCATCAAGGGGAAGAACAGGTGCTGCACCCACAACTTGATGCTACAGCAATGCCAAAGATATTGGCATGTCCTGCGCGAGAGACTTCGCTCCGCTCAAAGCCCTCGTCTCATTCATCAGACAGTAAAACGCCACATGATACCTCAAGAACATTCAAAGCGCGACACGTCTTTATTTCCATATTGTTACATTGTCAAAAATCAGTGTCTATGTCAAGCACATTGAATATTACTTCAATCCATGTGCTACAACACAAAAGCAGCATCATTTAACCCTCAGCGCGTTGACCGTGGGCTGTATCGAGACTGTCGCCAAGTATCACGCACGCCGAACTTGATACAACGACTAATTCGATTGAACTATGCCCAAGGCAACCTTTTGCAAGGATAGCGAGCGAATCTCTAGTATTTTCCCTTCGTCTCGCTCAAACTCGTGGAAGTGCCAGTTTCGTACCTTGAGGGGAAGAAAACAGCCACAGGTTCGAGATGGTGTCTCTTATAGCTTGGACCGAATTCGATGTCAATCAATGCGATAGAGTGCCTGTAAGCAGAAGCTGTTTGGCATAAATTATAGCTGGTCAAGCTCACACGGATTGTATCACTTATCTTGACTATGTTTCGATCTACGAAGTATGGATACTCCTTGATTCAGGGAGTATTTAAATACGGATGATGATGTTTAGGAAATTTTATTCAGTGACATTAATTATCGGACCTCATAGCCGAAGAGAATCAATAAGTTGAGGCATCATCTCTCATACGCTGAGGGGAAAAGGATCATGATATTAGACCTCCTTTCAGAACATTTTACCCAAATTTGCCATCTATTTTCCGGTCTATGCAAACCAGTTTAGTCCCACGACATACCATCATCGTCGTACCTAAACAACCTCAGAATCGCTGACGCAACTTGCTCTCCGTCATGTTCTAGATCCGCCGTCTCAGCCGCCCGATCCGCATGCTCCAGATCCTTGATCCCACCACTGTCAATTCTCATCTGAATCTGTCTCTTGACCATGTCCTCATCAAAAGCTAGATGCGCCTGCGACGTGAATAGCCGGTTGGGAATATATAATCCCTGAATGGATGTGTGATTACTCGTGCCCCAAACATGGACGTCAGTGTCGGGCTTGAGAAGGCCATTGGATGACTCGACCGTGGGGGCTTCGAGAACTTGGTCTTGGTGCATTTGATGGAGGTAGACTTTGTCATCGTGTGTACGGAAGAGGCGTTTGCCTACAGGTGTGAGGGTGATTGCACTGTGACCAAGTTCCCAGTCGTTTGTAGGTGACGGGCCGACTTTGCCTCCTAGAAGACGAGAGAGGACCTGATGGCCGAAGCAAACGCCTGTGAAGTGAAAGTCTGGGCGCTTTATCCATAGTTCTAGGAACAGTGAGTTTACCTTCCAAGAGAGAAATAACGGGCTACTCACGCTTCAAAAGATCGAGCAAGTCATGAATCCACTGGTTGTCGCCGTGCGCGTCATACATACTGCCCGTAATGAGCAGCCCATCGTAACCCTCAAACTCCTCCACCTTCGGCATGCGACCGCCCTCTTCTGTCACGACAAAGACCTGCTCTGTCTCAACGCCCAGCGGAGGATGGTGCTTGCTTCCAGCCTCTGAAAAATGGCGATGCAGAATCTCACCAAACGAACCGCGCTCGGTCTGAGTATCAGGATGAGGAGTATCAGTCTCGAGAACAAAGACTTTGACGACTTGTGCGTCGATTGTGGGCTTGTAATGTTGACCCATGCTGCTCGCTGTTGTATAGAGCTTTTGCAGTGGTGAAGGTGTAAGTGTGCGAATGTGAGGTTGTATGCAGGATTTTGGAGGGGCAGTGAAGCGTGGGAGATGCTTTGCAGCGTTGGGTGTATTTAAACGGCAGGACAACGACCGAATTCCAGTTTTGAACATTTTTACAATATCATAATGTGTAATTGTACAAGATTTTTCTTGGCCTCGAAAGATTCTATAGACTTGATCTTTTTTTCGTCTTGACGTCAGCTAAGACTCTTGACAATGGCGAACTGGGCGAGCCAAGCCCGTGATGACGGCAGCGGGTCACGAATAGTGGGTTTGAGGCGGGTTTTCGATATTGATATTCTGCCTGCATCTGCAGTACAGGATGCACACCTTTCCTGTTGCATGTAACCTGCTGTCAGAAGTATTTGTACCTGTAAATCAGGGGATCGGTAGGGATCTCTGTTCCAATGGGAGTGAGACGGAGTTACCAATTGAGGTTCTGACATGAGGGGCACCCACACTCAAGCTCGGCTTAAAACAAGCATACCAAATAACCATGATACTCTATTGAACAATGCTAAAATCGATAAAGATTTACAGTTTGCTCTCTTCCTCCGATCCCCAGTAGAATGTGCTAATCTCAACTCCAACATACTCATCGTTGTACTTTCTCGTCTCTTCTCCCTCCCTTGCTGCTCCCGCGCACACAAGCAATGGCATAAAGTGCTCTCCTCCATTAGGCGGGTGCATCATATCAGCATATGGAAATTTTCTCCACCCCTTGAGAGCCTTCCACCGCTCATCTGTATCCTTCTTGAGCGTCGCCTCAGTCAATGTGTTGTTCCATTCATCAGACAAGGTTCGGAATTGCGCCTGCTGTTCAGACCCCGCATTCATCAGCATCATCATGGCGCGAATGTTATGAAAGCTTGCAAATCCTGAACCAACGACGGCGATATTGTTGGCTCGCAGTTTTCGCAGTGCTGCGCCCATGCGGAGATGTTCTTCAGGATCCTCTGACTCAAGAACCGAGACCTGGACTACGGGGATGTCGGCTTTGGGATTGACGAGCAGAAGCGGAATAAAAACTCCGTGGTCCCATCCTCGCTCGTCATCCAATTCAGGCGTGAGACCTTCTCCGCGCAGAGCATCGGCGATCTCGTTTGCGATCTCTGGGTGTCCGGGTGCTGGGTACTTGAGAGAGTATGATTCACGAGGGAACCCGTAGTAGTCGTAGAGTAACTTATGAGATGCGCCTGATGAGATGGTGGGCTTTGCGGTTGACCAGTGGGCGGTGACAAGGATGATGGCTCGGGGTTGATCTGGGGTGCCGAGCTTGAGGATCTTGGGGACGCGGTTCTTTAGGGAGTAGACAATGCTTTCATGCTTAGGGTCGCCAAGAACAGGCATCGGGCCTAACAGTGTTAGCTATGTCGGCAATTGAGCCAGATCATATGGTGTCGAGTTACCACCGCCATGGGATAGCGCAATTACAGGGGCAACCTTTGACATGGTGGATGAATGTGAATGTCTCTGGGATGAAAACGAAAACGACTTGAATAAAGATGTCGAAAAAGTTCTTCGTGCAATAAGAGGCCAATTCCACATGAACTGCTATCTGTTGGCTACTATACTTTATCCTGTATATGATTCTACCGTAGCTCATTTCATCATGGCGGGGTCCTCAAGCTATTTATCCTCTTGTCCCATGATAATGGGGCCATCATGGCTTGTGGAGCATTTTCCGATTTCTGCTTGCTGCTTCCGAAAACCTCTGCCGAAATCGACAAGATTTACGATTTCAGCCAATGGAATCGCTCTTGGTCATTACCCGCGCGCGATGCTCCACTTTGCTCCCGCGCGTCACTGTTTGTAATCCCCGCGTCCCGAAGGGTCGGCTCCCACTGTATTTCTGTTGGCGATGGCCTCATTTGCAAGTTGCCACTCATATTATAAATCTACAACATTCACATCAAAGGAGATGAGAAAGAGTTTATTAAGAACACATGCTGTACTCAACTCTCATAAGTATTATGAAGACTTTAGTAAAGCTTAGGTAGGGCAAGAGACATGAGAATGACGTCTTGTGTAACTCCATACTCGACTCATGTATCTTGACCTTAGGAGTGAACTTCAAGGAAACCATCTAAATGGTGGATCATTTAGATAAACGCATGTAATTCATCCAACTCTTTAACCCAAGTACTCGTATGCTATCACAAGGTACACCTAGATAAACATAGATACATCACCCCTACCATGGCCAACAGCCTTGATTCTCGATCCAATCTCAAGAGGGCTACCCTCAGTCACCATAAAGTGACCAGAGTCCTTGGCTGACTTTTCATCCGCCCCAAGAATCTTGTAAATGTTGCTACTCACAAGATCGATAGCCTCCTTCTCATTCAACCGTCCACCTCCGTTCTTGAAAGCAGTACCCGCTGCAAAACCCAAGTCACGAAGCTCCCAATCTTCTTGCAGTCCAATCGCAGCAACTACGCCTGCGTCAACCAAGGCATCAATGGTTGTGCCATTGGTGAGTGGTGCACCGGTCAAGGCGCGACGTGAGTCCCAGCTTTCACCCTTTGCCTGCAGCGGCGACAGGATGACTCCAACGCCAGCCTCTCCAAGCTCCTTGGCCAGCAGGTGAGCCTCGGCACCACCAATGATGGCCAGCTTGAGACCACCAACTCTCTGGCTTGAGTCAGCTGTTGTGAGGACACCCTCGATCTCAGACTTGATTCGAAGAGCCGTTGCAATACCATCTGCACTGTTGATGGTGAGGGCCAGAACTTGCTCGCCACTGATCACCTTCTTGAGGTACGCTGCTTCTGAAAACGGATTGCTCGCAGGTTCCGGAGTTGTAGCGGCTGTAAGTAACTTGTTTCTCAGTCCACCGAAAGCGGCTGAGTAGCTAGTTGAACCTCTGACATTCAGGTCCAGAGTGTAGTGAACTGCCAGGTCGGGAGCAAAAACTGCGCCTTCTTCCAGAGTTGTCAATGCCGAGGTCAAGAATCCGACGCTGGTACCGAAATGGGTTGCACCACCCACAAAGACTGGTGCTGAGACGGCTCTGGTAACTCCGTATCGTGAGGCAACGTGCAACTTCTTGGAGTCAAGAGCAAGGCCATCGATAGCCCGAGAGAAGATCAACGGGTTGGGTCCATTGTTAGTTGCGTCCTCAGCATCAATCTCGCTGAGACCCAGAGTACCACCCACAGCTGTGAAAGATCGAGTCAAATAACCATTCTTGAGTGCAATAGTCTTTGCGCCAGTTGCAGCCACAGCTTGGAACTCCCGTTCGCAAGCTCCAATGCAGGAAATCTTGCCGTTGTGAACAACCACATTGACTGGCTTGTCTTGAGATTCGTAAGTCTTCTCATCTTCAAGGAACACCTTCTTGACACCAGTGAAGAGTACGGTATCGAGCTTGCTTGGCCCCTCCACAATCTCAGCAGGCTTCTCGACAGATACAGCTGCTTCTTGTGATTTCATCAGCTCAATAGGGTCCTCGAACTGAGCTGTGCCGTCAATCCAGACTTGCACAGGGGTTGCGCCAACGCTGAGAGGGTCACTATCCCAGACAGCAACGTCGGCATCAAAACCAGGCTTGACTTTTCCTAGACGCTTGCCCAAACCGAGTAGTTCAGCGGGAGCAGATGTCACACTGGCCAGTGCGACGTGGTAAGGAAGGCCGTAGTGGTAAGCCTTAGCTGCTTCAAAAAGGACATGTTGTGCGTTGATCACAGGGTTGTCGCTGACATACACTACTGTCAGGTTATTTTCGTGGAGGATCTTTCCAGCATACTCTGAGCCAATGTATGCTTCGGTCTTGTAGAACATATTATCAGCGAAGAGAGCAGATGCAGGAGGACGTCCGCCCCAGGTTCTCTTGAGGATCTAATAGCTATTAGTAAAAGAAGCCTTTTAATATAACATGTTCTTACCTCGGGCACCAGATATGTCTGGTGAGCATGATGGAAGGCCCGAACAGGGAACTTGAACTCGTTGGTGTGATCCACCATAGCCTCCAAGTCGGGGATCGTGTAACAATGTGTGTTGATATGAACCTGACCACGAAGCGCAGCAGTGAGAGCCTCCCAGGCAATCTCGCCAGGAAGATACTCGTCCAAGGACTCAACACCCTGAGACTCAGCCTTCGCACACCAGTCATCCTGCTTCTGGATCAAATCTCTCGCTTGCTCAAAAGCGTGGCGAAACTCGTAGCTTTCACCCATACGGCTGAATGGCCTATTTCCAACTCGGCCATGAACACGCTTCGCGTTCTCACCACATGCCATCTTCATGTATCGCCAATTGCGGTCTGGGTCGGCAAGCAAGTCCACTGCACTGATTTCCTTGCGGCCATCAGGCTTGCCAACTGCGTGCTTGATGACATAGGCCTCTCCGCCAATATTGTTGCCGGAACCAGGGAGGATGAGTGAAGTAGTAACACCGCCAGACTTGATGACCTCGATTTGAGGATCAAGCGGGAGCAATGAGTCGATAGCTCGAGCCCAAGGTGTGATGTTATCCGACATCTCATTGCCATCTGAGTTTCCCTCAAGAGAGGGCAATGGGTAGACGCCAGCGTGGCTGTGAGTGTCAACAATACCGCTGGTCAGACGGCGGCCATGAGCTTCGTAGACAATTGTGTCATCAGGTAGCGAAGCAGTCTTGATGTCCTTCTCAACGCGCTGAATGAGACCTTTCTCGAGAAAGACATCGCCCTGCACCCACTCCCAGCCCTTGCCAGCATACGCATCCTCTTGACTGGTTCCCTCGAGGGGCTCTCCAATCCAGATAGTAGCGTTCTTGATCAAAGTGGGCTTGCCGCCGTCGATATAACGAGCATTCTTATCTCGGCCGAGACCAGGCGGGTCTTGCGGCTTGACACGGAACTTCTTACACGTCTCGAGATCTTCATTGAGTTTCTGGATAGACAAAGTAGTCTTATTTCGCGGTGCGAGTTGTCGCCATTGTGCAAAGACAATGAAGGTCAAACAGGCTAGAGCAAAGAGCCTGATACCTCGTGAGCGACGCAACAACCGTCTGTTCCGCTGTTGACCAGGATGAAGGCCAAGCGGCGCTGGCAGCGAAACGGAGCTGTAAGGCGGAAGATGTGCCTTTTCATCCATTGTAACTTCTTGGTGTGAAGATTTACAATGTCAATGGATGGGGAATTACAAGATATGAAAGGTAAAGGAGGAGGTGAGAGCTTTGGAATGAAGATCCGGTCTCGTCACTCAGTGATAAGAGGTACTTCGCAAGCCTCGGCTGAGATCTCACAGTGATTGGTCTCCACTATGGCGAGCTATCTACGGTGGGTAACACAGTTACAGGGGACCCAAAGCTCTGCCCTCAAATAAAACTCATACACAACAGTCAGACTAAATGATACCTAGGTAGATCTTCAAGTCATGTGGTTCTGAGCTTGCCAGATACGAGGCTATCTTGCGAAACTGCTATGTAGCAGTCATCGGCAAGTTGAATTGGACATGTTGTTCCTTCAGAGTTGGTACCTGAGCCCTGTAATGTCTTGCCTGACAATCCTTCATTGATGGCGAAGTGCTCATCTTATTGTCACCTTACACTTTAAGACGAATATGCTCTGGAACTTTTGTTTATCGTCTTCGTTCCGAACAACGATAGGAATCGTAGCCGTAATCGACAAAATTGATTCACTATCACTTGGAGCATTCGTTTGATCTTCCTACTCAAACGATCTATGCAACAAGTCTGGGCGAGACATCGAGACCCATTCCTAAGACGCTCTGAAAGACAGCACGACGACGTTGGGCATTTAGATCATGAGCCCTAAAGGTCAAGCCTTTCCCATAAACTCGCATCATAAAGTGCCTAATATTTACCAAGAGACACCAATTGAATCTTGGCCAAATCCTGTACTCCGAGGATCAATCGAAGCTCCCACCCGGTAATCTAAGAAAAATGCTCCAATACGTTACATCGATCATTCACGACTACCTCTTAAACAGATGAGCTATTCGTCTGTTTGACTGCCTCGCCGGACATTGATCCCACCGTAGAATTCTCCAACTCATATAACGGCGGCATGGGGTCCGGGCTACGACCCATGAGACGCTTTGCATACCATCCCATTCGCTTGGAGTAGTATCGAACATGATCACGATTCCGAACGCTAAACACGATATCCAGTTCCTCCAACGACAGCGCCTTCGTCTCTGGAAGCAGGAAATACGTAAATACGAATCCGACCACGTTCCACGTCGCGTACCAGTAAAAGGCGCCTGAGGGTTTAAATGACTTTTCCATCATCGGCCACGTAAAGCTGAGTAAAAAGTTGAATGACCAGGTGATTGATGTTGCTGAGGCCATACCAAGAGCTCTGATATGCAAGGGGAATGCTTCTGCGCTATAGGTAAAGGGAACAGGACCGAGACCAGGTGAGTAGACGGCCATGAAGATGTAGATACTGGTGGCGATGAGAGGAAGACGAAGGCCGTTGTCTTGAATACCGAAGCATGAGCCAGTCCAATACAGACAAGCGCTCATCATGGGGAACGTAACTAACAGGAGGTTACGGCGGCCAAAGGTATCAATAGTCCAAATTGCAGGCAGCGCAAAGATCCAGTTGATGGCACCGCCACCGAACGAGGCCAGGAGGGCTTGAGAGCGGGTATATCCTGCATCTGTAAAGATCTTGGTACTGTAATAT